ATCGGAAGCCACGTCAAGGATTCCGAAGTCTTGTTGAACCTTGCAGACGGAGTCTTTCAGTTCTTGTAAGTTGTGCCTCTCGTACCCTAACCTGACCCAACCTTATCTCGGTGTCTCTGCCCACGCCTGGTCCACTCATCAGAGACCCCGTTCGATGCAGCTACGTTATTGTTACCGCATCTATTGCCTGCTTCCCGCTCTGTATCCGCACTGCGCATGGCGGTGGTTGCGGTGGGTTTCCCACGAGAGTGACAGATGAACGGACTTTTTTTTTCCTTCTGTTATTATGGAGATGAGCTAACCAACACTGGATGCCATTGAGGTATCCGTACATGTTTTTAGCATTAGTCCAGGCAAGTAGCTGTTTGACCGTCAGCTACCCATTTTGTATCTTTGTCTTTTGCCTCGGTACATGTTTGAGCGTTTTCTTCCACTTCAAAGACCACGTCCGGTTCAACAACTCAGCCCTGTCCCTGGTCACTGCCCCGGTCGCCCTCAATCTGAAGATGTTGAAGTGATCGGATAGTCTCCGTCGAAACGGGAAACGAATATGCCACATTCTGGAAAAAGAGAAAAAAGACAAAATAAGATAGGTACCTACCAAATACTCGTCCTTTGCAAGTACCCCGTCCAAGTTGGAAAAGTTTTTCTGGCATGCCCTTGATACCACTCACTTGATTATTAGTAGCCCCTGGATCTATCGGAGGCTAGACCGAATCGTAACAGCAGCAGCAACAGCAACAGCGGAGTGGCTAAGGTGCCGTTCGGAGCAAGCTTGGGAAGCCTGCCAGAATAGCTAGCATTAGAATGGATTTGGGGATACCTGTCACAGTAAACACCAAAGGGGTGAGAAGAGGGTCGACTGATTGGGTTTGCCGACTACCGCTTACAAGCGCGTTCTGAAGGCGTCTCCCCACCCCGACGCCGAACAAACCAAACCACCTTGAAGCCCAAAGCAGTCCACGCGCCGCCTCTACAAAAGTCTCCCACCACCACTACCACCGGCGAGGGCCAGTCCAGAACACAGCTTGTAAGACGAAGGTCGCTGGCTCTGTACACGATAAGAGGTACAGTGGACTGGCAAATTTCATGGATCAAGGCAATTCGAGAGTGCTAGGCCGGACCGCCGTAGCAATTCGGACCTTCGCACTTTCCTCTCCATCCGCTCTTGGTAATCCGTAATGCGTACTGCGTACTACAAGGGATATTTAAGACTGGACTGGATTACCAAAGAGGCATGCAATTTCGGGCTTCTTCCATCTAGGACCACACACGGCAGTCAGTCACACCGACCACGAGTCCACGACTGGTCTGGTGCAGGGCAAGCAGGCCAGACTTTCCTGCCACCCTCTAATGAGTCAAGGCAGGCGAGCCGCGAAGAAAGTACAATGGAAGGGGGTAGTCGAGTCGTGGGGATTGCTGACAGATCAAAGTTCTTTTTAGGCGGTGACCACTGAGCAGTGCAGGCCAGCAACAACAAGATGGAAGAACAAGCCTTTTCCAGCGCTCCTCCCTGGAACAGCTTATTGCTCCTCTAACCCGTGTTCAACAAGGTACCTTGTTTCTCCTGCTAGGTAGGTAAGGTAGCTTTGTATGCGCGCGTACCTTTTATGGAGTGAACCTGGAAGCTCTCGACCGGCCCGGCCACCTCACTTCGCTTACACCGCCCGCCCGCCGCCCGCGGCCTGTTGTGTGTATGTTTTTCCCTCAGCAAAAGCGACTGGACACCCACCACCCACTCGACGGCGACGCATAGCAAAGCAAAGCAGCGACAAAAACCTAGCAGTACTTGTGAATCACTCCGATCAGCTGCGTGGAGCTAGCAGCAGTGCCAGTACCTAGAGCGGTACCGGTACCAGCGCAGTGGAGGGAGTGGGAGGGTCCCAGGTCTCCAGCTCAAAGTCTCTCCATTCTGCTGCTTTCCGCCGATTCACCTAGAGCAGCCCGTGGTGCTAATACCTTGCCTTTCTGTAGCTTACGGCAAGGTGTTCGTACGAAATATACTTCACTTCCCACCTCACACTCAGGTCCACGTCCTCGTCCTCGTCCTCGCCCTTGCCAGTGTGGAAATCTGCAGTCTGCCCTGAGGTCTCAAATTTCTCAACTGTACCGAGCTGCAGGGCAATCCAATCTTTTCATCGTCAAGCCCCACCTTGACCCTACTTTACCTCAAAAAGACGCTACACATCCTACGCTACCTTACCTTGCTCTACTTACACCAGGCCACCACCTATTATTCACCAAGACCACCACCACCACCACCACCTGGCTGTCGCAACCTGACTGTCCCGCTGTGTATTTTTCTTTCCCTCTCTTTTTCGCTCCCCCTCGACTCCCACTTCTCCCCCCTCTCACCTCCGTCCCCTCCCCCCAATTTCTTTGGTATTAACTGCTCGCTCACCCGCCGCCTGCCCGTCTGCGCGTTGCCTGCCACCAGACCAGACCGCTACCCGCCGCCGCTGTCGCCTGCTCCTGGGGCCAGACTTTCTCGCTTTCTCGCTCCGACCGCCTCTGCCTCTCCATCCATTCCTGCAGTCCTCTCTCTCACCTACATAATACTCTAATCCCTACGCCCATCCCATCTTCCTCGTCTTATTACCCTTCCTTCCGACTTCTTCTCTCAAAAACTTTGAATACTACCTCCAGTACACCGTACACACCCCCCTTCCCTCCCACCTTTCACCACGGGACAAAATTAGAAAGAAAAGGGGGTTGAAACAGGTCTGCTATTTTGTCCGCCCTGCGAGTCACGTCTACTTGGGCCCGAGCCCTCCCACTGCGCCGAGGCGTTCTTTACGCCACAGCGAGCCCTTATTCCCTTGTCAGACCTGAGCCTCGACACTCGACGGCGCTCCCGAGCCTACGCAGTACTTGGCTCGACTCGACTCGACTCGACTCGACCAGACAGACCAAAGACTTGAGTCGCAGACTTTAACCCCCCACCACCACTCAATTCTGCATAACCTGTCTCTGCTGCCCCTCCAGCAGCACTGCTGTGCATAGCTGTTCATTCTTGCTGGCTGCACTGCACCGCACCGCACCCACGCTTTCCTTGCGGCTGACACCCATCTGCGGCCTACCTGCGTCACCGATAGCCGGAACCAAGAGAGACAACAGCCAACAAGGGGAAGACAGAGCAAAAAAGACCGAGAGAGAAAGAGAGAGAGCCGAAAGGTCATCCGTCGGTTCGCTTTCGCGTATATACCGCCTTCGTCCCGTCCACCCTTCCTCTCTACAACCAGGACCCCTCCGAACGAACCCTCACCCACCAAATAAAACCTGCCGCGCGCTCATGCCTTCCGCATCCCCCGCTATGGCGAGCCCAACAACCGCCTCGGCGGCCAGTTCCAAACCTTCCTCAGTCAAGTCTGACGGCAAAAAATCGCCGCGTTTGACCCCGCAAAATGGCCAGTCCCTCACCAACGGCAATTCGTCCCACGACGCCCTGCCGAAACCTGCCGAGAAACCCTCCATGAAGGACAAGCTCACGCGCATGTTCTCTACCAAAGACGTCAGCCGAAACGCTATTGAAGTCCCCCATCGACCCCGCGGCTCCAGCTTTAATGGCAGCGACAAGCCCCAACCTCCCAGCAGAAAACCATCCGCTACCACCGCAGAGAAAGTTCCCGAGAAACCAGCCAACAAACCCTCAAAACCTCCCGTAAAAGACCTTCATCGATTCATGGCGAGCCCAGACTTGCAAGGTGGCCACGAGCACCACCTCAAGTCAAGTCGCAGGCAGGAGAAGCTCTCTGACATGTGGCGTACCCTCATCGGCAAGAAGCAAGAACACGCCGAAAACGACCTGTCGCTCGTCTCTAACTGGGTCGACACGCTCAAGGCCGAGAAGGAAGACATGGCCGGCGACAAGAAGAACGGACCAAATGCCACGACCACTCTAGTAGAGAAGTACGGAAAATGCCAGGAAGTTGTAGGCCGTGGTGCCTTTGGAATCGTCAGGATATCCCACAAGAAGGTCGAGAACGGCGTAGAAAGACTCTTCGCCGTTAAGGAATTCCGCCGTCGCCCGGAGGAGACGGAGAAGAAGTACAGCAAACGACTGACTGCCGAGTTTTGCATTTCCTCATCGCTGCGTCATCCCAACGTTATCCACACGCTGGATCTGCTCAAGGACGCCAAGGGAGATTACTGCGAGGTCATGGAGTTCTGCGCCGGTGGTGATTTGTACACTCTCGTCCTCTCGGCCGGCAAGCTTGAGGTCCAGGAGGCGGATTGCTACTTCAAGCAGATGATGCGCGGTGTGGAGTATCTCCACGAGATGGGTGTTGCCCATCGCGATCTGAAGCCTGAGAATCTGCTGCTCACTACTCGTGGTGGCTTGAAGATCACAGATTTTGGCAATGGAGAATGCTTCAGAATGGCCTGGGAGACGGATCCCCACATGGTTTCTGGCCTCTGTGGCTCTGCTCCCTACATCGCACCCGAAGAGTACACCGACAAGGAGTTTGATGCCCGCGCTGTCGATGTCTGGGCCTGTGGTGTTATCTACATGGCCATGCGCACTGGTCGCCATCTCTGGCGTGTTGCCCGTAAAGACGAGGACGAATTCTATGCTAGATACCTAGAAGGTCGTCGCGACGAGGAGGGTTACGGACCGATTGAGTCCTTGCACAGAGTAAGTCTATTTGGTTGCTTGCAGCATTGTCCGGAAACTGACAGCCTTCAGGCGCGCTGTAGGAATGTTATATACTCGATTTTGGATCCTAATCCCACCCGCCGCATTACCGCATCCCAGGTCCTCAAGTCAGAATGGGGACGCGAGATCAAGCTCTGCAAGGCCGGTGAAGAGGGCCTTTGAACAGCGTCGTCTTGAAAACTCGGTGGACAGCTTCTTTCTTGTCATCAAGAATTTCAACATTTTACTTTCAACGGCGGAACAGCAATGACCGGAATTTCCAACCCGGCACACCGATAGAACAATGCGTCTGCACAGACAGCGTGCGTCAACCGGCGGTCTTTTGACTCCCTCTTTCAGCCTGCTTCGATTCACACCCTTTTACACTTGTTTTCCTGACGATTTTACGACACCCCCCTATGCGACCCTGTTATTGCGAGCATTGGCGTTTGGCGTTTTACCCTCCCATGCTGCTTACACCACAACAACCTACTGTTCAACGTACATATGACACCCCCGTCTTTGAAACGGGGCACCGGCAGAACTACGCTACAGAGCCAGGTCTACATCTTTGGGTTGACTTGGCCAGCAGTCCCCAACCCCGATGGAATGAAGCTATAATGAGCGACGGATTTGAGATGTGCAAGGGCATTAACGACCTGGAAACGGAAGATGGACTTGGTTGAGCCTTGAGGAAGAGGCTCAGTGGGATACTTGGCGGTTGAGGACCAGGTGGAATCGGTAGGGACGGATGCATAGGCATGATGCATCGGTCTCGAGGGAACACATCTTGGGAGACTGCATGCGTGTGTGGGCTATGGAACTGACACGCCCGCATATTTGCCCGAGTCAAACTTCTGGATTGATCGTGTGGTCTCCCTGCCGCAAACCCCCCTAATCCACTCGCTTTGCTATCTATAGCGAGTGGCTGTATTCTGAGCCAAAGACCTAAAGAAAGAAAAAAAATTAATGAACAAAGCAAAGAGGAGCGGCATCCTGGGGTGATCATTCTGTGACTGCTCTTGTCTGTGTGCTCACAACTCTTTGCCCATGAATTTTGCTTAGGTTTGGCGAGTCTGGCGGTCTTTGCGGACCTGTCTTGGTCACCTGCCCCATGTCCTGGACATAGGCTGGCCCGTGGGAGAAGCAAATGCTGGATCTATTGCATCACTGGGATACGCAAAGCCACGATGCTCTATCTGATCTTTTACGAAGACGGAAATTACCCACGGGTTGGGCAACCCAGAGAACCGGGCGCAGTATAGAGTTGGGTTTACAGCCACACTGCTCTGTGGGTTATTTGCTGAAACTCTACTCATATATCAGCTTGGCAGATGACATGGGCAGGTATGAACTCTGGGGGGAGCCGATGACGACGGACCGGCGGAATGAACATAGTAATTCCCGCGGCTTCAAGATCTGGGAATGGGGCCCGGGCCAGATCTGAGTGCCGGAAGAGTGGGACCCACCATACCTCTCGTTCTCAACTCTTTCGCCCGACGCCGCGGTTCCGTGGGCTGTGGATACCCAGCCAGGTCAATCCCGGGGATGAGGTCATACTTGTTTGCTTTTTCCCTACAACGACAACTCTATATCAACGCACTTCAACGGGGGAAACCAACGGGCGCCGACGCGGGGGAGTGGCGACCAACGGGATTTTTTCTTTCTTTTACGCCGGGATGTCCGCGACTTCCGTCTGAAGGTCCGTCTTTGCTTTCACACCGAGACTTCCGGGGGGCCAGAAGGAGGGAAGGGCCGCTGCCGCCAAAGTACAACCAACCTTTTTTGGAAAAAGTCTTGGCGGACAAGACGAACAAACTAAGCCACTTCACTTCGCCCCGAGTGTCGCTGCCAAGATCTGGCGATCAGGAAAGGTAGGGCGGACAATACGTTTGGACTTGTGATTTGCCGTTTTTTTCTTTTTCTTTTTTCGCGGATTTGATTTTGAAGCGAAAGCTGTTGGGAATGGCTAATCTTGTCGAGCCTTTGTTTGCTTGGCAAGTGTATCACATCACATTGAGCGCCAGCTTCTGCAAGACTGGAGCTTTGGCTCATTGCCTCTGTTCTTGTAGAGAGCGGTCAGCGTAGACTGTGTTACACACACTGGACTGGCCTGGGCATGCGGACCTAGGTAGAGCACCAGACAACCCGACTCACTGGTAGTTACACTAGGCTCCCAAGTCCAAGGTAGACTGAGCCTCAACGAGAAAGGGTGAAGCCAACGCAGCAAGCACACCTTCTCTCCTAGGGTCGTTCCATGGGAGACTGGACGACAGACGGACATGATTGACAAGCAGATGTGATGATGGACTAATAACGGTGTCCTGACTGATAGGAATGATCAAAAACGTACACCGCCTCTTCTCAAGGCTAGATAGGCCAACTCACCCAAAGCAAAACGCTCTACGGAAGAGCCTCTCTCCTCGTTTGGTAAGTTGACTCACGCTCTAGTCCAGGACACATGGTTTGCCCACGGTCCATGTTGATCCCGTGGACGGGTCACTGCACTAGATCTACCCAAGATCTCGGACAGCGTGTTCACTCCCTTCTGCAGCGGGGAATTTGGGAGACTAGTACCCCAAGGTCAGGAAGTGCCTAGGTAAGGTAGGTAAGTTAAGGGACGTAAGCTTGGTAAAGGTAGGTAGGGCAGTGGGCATGCACTGCCGCTGCCCCGCTCTTTCCGTAATAGTAGACTCAGAATCTCGATAGTCTCACCAGCGTCATCGACCGATGACACCCCCCTTTCCTCCTCCTCCTCCTCGTTCTTCTTCCCCCTTCCCCTCCACACCCAAGTTCTCAGATAAGTCTCAGTAATCCATCCCACCCGTCCGCGTGGCGCACAGCGCCTACCCAGATCCGGCGGTCAGCAAAGGCAGCTTTTTCTCTCCTTCATCTTCCGTCCATGTCCTGCCCCTTCTTCCCCAGAAAGCTCTTTCTTCTTTGAAAGAGAAACTATAAACTTAGTTTCTAGACTGGCGCGCCCAGCACTGAGTTGGAAGGCACCCGATACTCAGCTGGCCCAGCTCTAATGTAAGTACCTTACTATCCATACCAGCATCCCGCCAGGCCCCCAGAAACAAAGAAGTACAAAGACACTACGGCACCGGATCCGGAGAGCGGGTACCCGCCGGCAAACACCAAAGCCCCACCGCCACAACCACCGGACGAGGTTACCTAGCTCTCAAGCGGGTACCATCCAAGTAGAATCCTCGCCTTCTGCCGCATCCGGAACTCCGGGGACGCCCCTCCCTCCCCCATGGAACATTTCCAGTAGTCTTCCATGTGTGGGGGCCCGGCGGGTCCGAGACAACGGTGTGATAGCGGGGTGACCCACACCGGTCTCGGTCACGGGTACCGGGGACACGGCTCCGCCCGTACGGACCCTTGCCCCTGATATGGCGCCGGCAGGGATCCAGTGTACGGAGTGCAGAGTAGAGGAATACTGACATCTTCCGGCGCCGGCTCGACGTTACCAGAAGTGACTCAGCCGGCTCGCTCACAGGGGGGGTAAGGTTTGTCCTCGATGCTTGCCTTTCGATTGTGCTGCCGCACCTAATGTCCGGCGTTCTTTGCAAGGATGATTGGACGTCTTCATCGCCGGTTCCTCTAGTTTCCCATGGTTACCTTCCTACCGTGAAGTAGACGCTTTTCCCGAATTCAGATGTGTTTCTATCCCACAGACGGTACGGTTGGCTTTCATCATCCACGTAATGACAAGCTGTTTTGGTTTCTCATCATGCCTATCTTAGGTTGTGCTGTCCCTAACATCCATTAACCTCCCAATTTGTCCGTAGACCCGTGTCTACGTTTCATGCATCATATCACATCACACATCAGGGAACGCTCCGATTTTGAACTAAAATAAAGCCTCAAGGCCTCTTGTATATGCGTGCCGAATCTTCAGTACCTCTTGCTCCAATATACGTAACACCAAGGCGACAAAAATAGCGCACAGGTTGGCAGCTCCCGAGCGGGAAGCAGGAAGCATAAAACACAAAAGAGATACGCGCCGAGGGTATATCCCTCGACCACCATTCTTTCCCCGTAGCAGACGACCCCAAGATAATACATACAGAGAGAATCTGCACCCTCTTCTCTGCTCATGAATCTCGTGCCAACCCGTCATTTTCCCGTAAACACCGGTAATAACCACATAAAAATGACAAAGCAAATAAACGCCCCCTGGCGCACATCTTTAACTTCCATTGCAAGAATCGAACGTAACATCCCCTTCAAAACGTGACTGCCCCTTGCAGAATATAAGCAAACCATAGCCGGTAGCGCCAACCGCCTCGTACCCGCCTAGCCGCGTGCGAAAATAATCCATAGCTGTTCCTCGAGAGGAAGCTGGAGTTCGTAATGATCGGTTTCGTTCATTGTTGGAGACGTGCCGAGGAGGTAGCTCTTCGTAGTTGCAGACATTAAATCCCTGACTTAAATCCTATCCAGCCGCGATATTTTTACCCCCTCTCCTTCCGACTAGAGGAGAGTGGCAAAGACCAACAGTGGATGTGACACTGCTCCAAACCCATGCAAGATGGCCGAGATCAAATCGACGAAAGGGCGGGGCCGGATCCCGCAGGAAACTGAAACCAAGGAGTGAGACGCAGGCGGTCTACTCCTCAGGGTGGAAGAATCGAACAAAGAGAAGAAAAAGACTCTCTAGGAGTGGAAAAGGTCCCAGGCTCTGGCGCAGAGCTGCATGAACTCCTCGCGCTTTTGCCTTTGGCTCTCGGGGCTGTCCCGACCGGCGCCGAATGGTCCTCTTCGCTGAGGAGCAGGACCGTGACCCAATGGTGGGCTGCCGTCCTCATACTCGGCGCGGGTGCGGCGCCGGCTTGCGCTGCGGCTGGGATCAGCGGCTCTGCTTCCCGGGGCTGGAGAGGGAGGCGTAGGGGGCTGGTGAGCGTTTCCGTAGTGAACGATCTTAGGGAGCAACTCGGGGCGGCCACCAGCAATCTCGTGCTGTGCCTCTTCCGCTGACTTGTACTCTCTGGCGCGTCCGGAAGTCGGAGGACCATGCTGCATCTGAGGAGGGTGACCAGGTGATGCCATGGGGGGACGGCTGGTTTGGGGGTACAGGGAGTTGGGAGCATTATCGGGGTGACCAGAGACTTGGCCAAAGACGTCACTAATGGGCGGGAGGCGGTTGTTCGTCTGGTTGGCAGGGACGTGATGAATGTGAGAGGTGTTGGAAAGGGTGTTCGGCTGGTTTGTGATGTGGCGAGACAGAGGTGCAGGGTGCTGACGACCAGTGAAGGAGTGTCCCAAAGGGGCAGACTGAATGACGCGCTCGTTGGCGAAAGACTCGGCCGAGGGCGGCAGGATGGAAAGCTGGGCCTTGTTCCTGCGAGACAAGCCGGGGGTCTTTGCTGCGAATTGAGATACAGGGTCCTTTCCAGAGGTGTCAGGACCATCACCCTTTGCCGATTGCTGCTGCATTCTCTGCTCGATGATCATGCGTTGCTGGTCTCTCACGCTCATGCTGCGCTGAAGCTGCTCCTTCATGATGGGGTCTTGGGTGACGAAACCGGGCGAAAGACAGGCGAGGCCAACTTCCTGAATGCCCAGGTTGTCCCTAGCAGTCATGGGCCTAGCAGTGCCAGGAGTGTTGGAGCCCGGGTGGGCGCCCTTGTTGGACAAATCAAGTTTGCGTGGCCTGTGACGGGTGGTCGGCAAGTCTGGGGAGTTGGGCTCCTTCTTTACAACGATCTTCGGTGCACCGCTGGCATGTCTCGCGCTGAAAGAGAGAGGAGTTAGTTGATTGCAATTACGAGGTAATGGGTTAGGCGTGGAGATGCAACTTACGCGCCGGGAGGAGATGACTTGGGAGCTTGAGCGGCACCCCTAGGGCTGCCGCTGCCTGATCGATGCGCCGTCGCAATGGGGGTTCCAGTGGGTGCAAGAGTTCTTTGTTGTGCAGGCGAGGAAGCGCCGTGCTGTGCGGAAGACGCGGGAGCGAGGTCAGAGGAGAACGACGGTCTGTCGTGAGGGGCTGGAGAGGGAGCCATTGCGATCGCTGTGCTCATAATTGCTGTGCTGTCGGTAGGTTGGGAGAATTGAGGCGAGAAAAAAGGGGACCGGTCGGGGCGGGTGATTGCTGCTGGTGCTGCACCCGACACGACTGTTTGCCGTTGAGTACTGCGAAGAAGGGCCTCACTTGGCTCGACGATTGCAGAAGTGCAAGTTCGGAAATCGGAAACTCGTGCACGAAAAA